TGTTGATTTCATTTGAATCAGTCTGAAGACAATGAGGGTGAGATTCTGTGCTGCATCTCCAAAAAATGCTTGCAGACCCAGAGAAGGAAGTGTACCCTCCTGGTTCCAGACCGCTCTGGCGGCTGCAAAGGCCCCCTGTGTAAATTATGGCAGCCTGTATTGGATTGTAAATAAGCAGCACGGCCGGTACCACCCACAATCCTCATAGTGCTACTCACAACATGTCTCTGGGCCAGGGTTTGCAATGGAGCCTGTGAAGGACTGATAAGCCTGTGTCAGGAGAATTATTTCTGGTTGACTGCAGGGCTTTTACAGCCCCTGTCTAATCCAGCACTAGTGTTCACGGGCTGTCACAGGACTCACAATCTCACCCTGGGATTCTACAGGTGCATGTGAATGCTTAGTTCAGCCTTAACTGTTATTACTGGTGATGATGTGTGAGAAGGAAAGAATCCATCCTGAATCATTCTGAGTTTCCAGGGCTGGTAGGTAGAAAAAAAAGTTACTTTTAAATTGAGTATGTTTGATGTAGAAATAATTGAGAAACAATAACCAGGGAACCCAACACTAACATTTTTACATTATTACTTTGCCGAGTAATACCACCTATTCATCTATATGGTCCTTACCACGATGGTAGCTGAGTGTCTCACCAAAATGAATTAATTTATCTTCACAATACTGTATCCATGTGACGCTGGGTTGTACTATTATCCCCATTTCATAGATAGATGGGGAACTGAGACAAAGGGAGACTCAGTGACTTGCCAAAAGTCAGAGAGGAAGTCTATGCCAGAACCAGAAATTAAACCCTAATTTCCTAACTCACAGTTCAAAAGACCATCCTTCCCCCTTTTGCATTTTCTAAGGTTTCAAGTTGCCGAAATTATACCAAATAGGGCTGTAGCTCTGCACCTGCTCATTCAGTGTGCCACGTTCAGTTTATCTCCAAAGGGCACTCTCCGACCTCAGGACCAGGAAGCGAATAAAGGTTCCATTGTCAAAAATAACATTCACTGTATCAATCATGTATAAATGTAAGTATATGATATAGATACTGATTAGCTGTTGGGTGCAGAATAAAGACCCCTTGAAAAAGATATAAATTACAACAAAAGAGGGAGCAAATATAAATACTGTCTACAGGATGGGATGGAATGGATGGCCCCGAGGACCAGTATTGTGCTAAAGTGCCTTTTACCTACAGGGTACCAGTTCAAATCTAGCCTAGGCTGGTAACAGCCATATGTTGTGACTAGGCCTGCCAATTAATTGCAGTTAACACCTGCAATTAACTGAAAAGATAATTAACATGTTAATTTCATACCTCTGGGTGGAGAGGGAGGCATTGGTGGCAATGGGGTTGAAGAAGCCCAAGTCCACAGCTCTGCAGGGTGGGGGAGAAGGGGCCCAAACCTGCAGCTCAGCGGGTGGGGCTGGAGCCGTGTGGCCCAATGGAAACTGGAGTCCCGAGGCAGACTGGAGCCCCAGAGCGGCTGGAGCCCAGCCCCTTGGGCCCCAAGCCGTGTACCCTGAGGGGGGCTGGAGCCCCGAGCCCCACAGCGCACACCCCGGGGGGGCTGAAGCGCGGCGCCCTGAGCCTATATTTGAAACAATAGAAAATGTCCAAAAATATTTAAATAAATGGTATTCTATTATTAACAGTGCGATTAAAACTGTGATTTTTAATCGCTTCACAACCTTAGTTGTGACTCTATAAATTAATAGTGTAAATAAAGTTCTTATTTGTCCACATTATAACTGACATCTATTTTCACCCTTGTTAGAAAAACCAGCATATCTGAAGACTTAAGTTACCCTTCAGAACCAGGATGAGACATATTGACAGGATGGCATAGGTTAGCGAATGTCTGGTTATTTCCAGGGGTATTTTGTTTGAATAATCTCATAAGCAGAGTTTAAAATTTGCTTTCAAATAAAAATCTGTCATGTGATCTGATGACATCAGCGATCATCCCATTCACTGAACAAACTCGAAACCCTGGTGTTTGCATAGCACCTGTTCTATGCGTACAAGCCTTTGCTCTCCCAGTTGCCAAGGCAGCACCTTCCGCTTGCAATAAATGTTGTTTTAGAACCTCCTATAAAGATTTTTAAAAGGTCACTTTACAAATGAGTAACATGCCGTAACTACCTGCTTGAATATCCTTCACAGTCACACCTACCCAGCTCTCTCTCTTTCTTTCTCTCCTTTCTCAATCTCTAGCTTCCCACAGCCTGTGTCCCCTGCCTCCCCCTTCCATTCCTCTATTTAATACTGGTTTGTTCACAGGTTTTGCCATCCCTGTCCCCCCCATATTAGAGCACCAGTCTAGGGCCCCAGCTATACACCCCTCCCTCCCTCCAACCATCCCTTCCCAGCTCCCCCTTCTTTGCTTCCTCTGGCCCTTCTCTTCCCAGCTTCCCCTACCCCTGCCTTCCCACGTCCACCTCCTCCGCTCACTCTGCTCCTTGCCTCTACCCCTCTTCCCAGTTCCCGTTCCTCTGTCCCTCCCTTCCCAGCTCTCCCTCTCTCAACTAGGGTTGCCAACTTTCTACTTGCACAAAACCGAACACCCTTGCTCTGCTCCCTGCCCTGGCCCTTCTCCAAGGCCCCACCACCTGCTCAGTCCATCCCCCTTCCCCCCCCACCCTCACTCGCTCTCCCCACCCTCACTCACTTGCTCATTTTCATCAGGCTGTCTCAGGGGGTTGGGGTGTGTGTGTGGGGGGGGTGAGGGCTCCGGCTGGGGGTGTGGGCTCTGGGGTAGGGCTGGGGATGAGGGGTTTGGGATGCAGGAAGGTGCTCCGGGCTGGGACCGAGAGGTTCAGAGCGTAGGAGGGGGATCAGGTCTGGGGAAGGCAGTTGCGGCATGGGGGTGAGGGCTGCAGATGGGGGTGCAGGCTCTGGGGTGGAGCTGGGGATGAGGGATTTGGGGTGCAGGAGGGTGCTTTGGGCTGGGATCAAGGGGTTTGGAGCGTGGGAGGGGAATCAGGGCTGCAGGATGTTACAAGATTTGCCTGTTACTTTGGGGTACACTCATTTATTAGGAAAAAGAAAAGGAGGACTTGTGGCACCTTAGAGACTAACCAATTTATTTGAGCATGAGCTTTCGTGAGCTACAGCTCACTTCATCGGATGCATACCGTGGAAACTGCAGCAGACTTTATTACATTTACAGACTTTATTACATTATTACTGCAGCAGACATTATTACAGATTACAAAAGTCAGATATAGAAAACTATACCTGATCACACAAGTCAGGGTTAAAAAAAGTCTGCTGCAGTTTCCACGGTATGCATCCGATGAAGTGAGCTGTAGCTCACGAAAGCTCATGCTCAAATAAATTGGTTAGTCTCTAAGGTGCCACAAGTACTCCTTTTCTTTTTGCGAATACAGACTAACACGGCTGTTACTCTGAAACCTGTCATTTATTAGGGTTACTCTTCTGGGGGGGGTCCTGTAATTCTATCAATGTACTACTTGTGTCACTTGTGTTTTCATATGGAGCTCTACTTCTCCCTTCTGCAAGTCCCCTCCCAATGGAGCTATCCTGCAGGACCTAGCTTCCCCAGGACTGGGTTCCTCCCACCCCAGAATCAGAGGAACACAAACACACACATACACACACTAACAGAGCAAGCACTCTCAAGCTGACCCCTTATATGTCCCTGGACTCAACAGGCTGGGCCAAGCAGCACTTTCAAGCTGCCACCCTTATATGCCACAGGTACCACACTGGAATAGAGAAAGCCTGAGCAGACTGGGTCAAACAGCACTTCCAGGCTGCCACCCTTATATGTCCCAGGTTCAGCATGTCCCTATCCCCACTTCCACGTTATGATTGTTCTGGTAGTAACCCACTTGATGAGCAAACCCCACAGTATTTTGGGGCGCTATAGGGATCTTTAGCTTAGGTAAGAGAAGCGTTGCTGCAGAGTAAATGGAGAAGCCAAAAACACAAAAGAGTAAAGTTCAGAGAGAGAGAGAGAAGGAAGGAAGCAACCAGCTTAACCATAAAAGTTATTTATTGAATAACAGTAATAACCACACAAGGGGAGCCAAACAAACATAACAGTTACATTATTACAGATTACAAAAGTCAGATATAGAAAACTATACCTGATCACACAAGTCACGGTTAAAAAAAAAAGTTATACCTGAGGTAGAAAAGAAAACAGAGAGAGAGAGAGCTGGGGTCTCACCACTCCACGAAGATTGAACTGGTTGGGGTTCCCAGGTGCTGGTGGTAGCTGAGGGCCCTGAGTGCTGGAGCCAGGCTGAGCCCCCAGCATGATCAGTCAGAAGATGAAGTCCCAATGCAACTCATACAGAGTTTGGATCCAGGCATCAGAACACTTACTTGAGCATGGGTAGGGGTTTTTGTAGGGAACAATGGTTCAAGGGAGAACACTAGATTTGTTTATGGATAAACTGATGACTCAAGGGTTTTCCTTAGGCTAGACAATAGGAACTGATCATTACTGGCTATGGGTAGTATTCCTTCAAGGGAGCTCACAATGTAATTAGGTAGCTTCCGTATTTGGATATCAACCAAGGATTCATTACTAGAATTGGTCTGATAACTGCTGAACTGAGTTTGTGCAGGTTCACTAACATCTGGAGCAGAGATGCCCCATCATTCAATGCTTCCCTGCTTTTCTGGTCTCAGAGTTCAGCGAGGTTCTTGCCTTGGAATCTCTGTTCTCTATTCTGTATGCTAATAGAGATGCCTCCCTGTCCCATCTTTGATGCAGATGAGGCTAGGGGAGTTGCCTTAATCCTGTCACCCTTGTCAGGAAGCATTTAGGTGTGTCTCCCACCGCCTTTTCATTGCTTTCTGTAAATCTTTCTTCTGATCAGTTTTGGTTCAAGCAGAGGCTGGGGGCGTCCTTCAGGAGTCAGACAGGCTGGACACTGCACCTTGGTTCCCCAAGAACACAGAGCTGACTGCTATCAGAGAGGGGATCAGGGCTGCAGGCCCTGTGAGCACTTACCTCCGGCAGCTCCACGATTCCTGGCCAATAGGAGCAGTGAAGTTGGCACTTGGGGTGGTGGCAGCGCACAGAGCCTCCTGGCTGCCCCTACGCATAGGAGCCAGAGAGGGGACATGCTGCTGCTTCCAGGAGCTGCAGCAGGCAGGGAGCCTGCCTTAGCCCCGTTGCGCTGCCGACTGGACTTTTAACTGCCCAGTCAGCAGCGCTGACCAGAGTCGCAAGGGTTCCTTTTCGACCAGGCGTTCTGGTCGAAAACCAAACACCTGGCAGCCTGACTCTCAACCTCTCCCTTCCCAGGTCCCCCTCCCAACTCTTCCTTCCCCACTTCCCCCTCCTCTCCTTCCTCTGTCCCCTCCCCAGCTCCCCCTCGCCAAACCCTCCTTCTCCAGCTCCTCCTCCTTCCTGTCCCCTCTCCCCTCCCAGCACCCCCTCTCTCAGCCCTCCAGCCCCAGTTCCCCCTCCTCTCCTTCCTCTGCCCCCTCCTCTCCCAACCCTCCTGCAGCTCCCCCTCCTTCCTCTGTCCCCTCTCCCTTCCCAACTCCCCCTTTCCCAACCCTCCCCCAGCTCCCCCTCCTTCCTCTGTCCCCTCTCCCTTCCCAGCTCCCCCTCTCCCAACCCTCCCCCAGCTCCCCCTCCTTCCTCTGTCCCCTCTCCCTTCCCAGCTCCCCCTCTCCCAACACTCCCCCAGCTCCCCCTCCTTCCTCTGTCCCCTCTCCCTTCCCAGCTCCCCCTCTCCCAACACTCCCCCAGCTCCCCCTCCTTCCTCTGTCCCCTCCTCTCTCAGATCCCCCTTCCCAACCCTCCTGCAGCTCCCCCTCCTTCCTCTGTCCCCTCTCCCTTCCCAGCTCCCCCTTTCCCAACCCTCCCCCAGCTCCCCCTCCTTCCTCTGTCCCCTCTCCCTTCCCAACTCCCCCTCTCCCAACCCTCCCCCAGCTCCCCCTCCTTCCTCTGTCCCCTCTCCCTTCCCAGCTCCCCCTTTCCCAACCCTCCCCCAGCTCCCCCTCCTTCCTCTGTCCCTCTCCCTTCCCAGCTCCCCCTCTCCCAACCCTCCCCCAGCTCCCCCTCCTTCCTCTGTCCCCTCTCCCTTCCCAGCTCCCCCCTCCCAACACTCCCCCCCACTTCCCCCTCCTCTCCTCTCCTCTCCTTCCTCTGTCGCCTCCCGTCCCAGCTCCCCTGCCCCCCTTCAGGGCTCCCAGCAGGGAGGAGCTTCTGCGAGCGAGTGCTCCTCGCGGGGCCGTGACATCACCGCCGCCCTCGCCGTGACGCCCGCCTCCCCCGCGAGGATCCTCGCCCCTCATTCCCGCCCCGCCCTCCTCAGACCAGACACCTCGCGGCAGCCTGCAGACAGGGAGAGGGGCAGGGCGGTGCGGGGCTGCCAAGCGGATGGCGTCACTGCGGGGGAGGGAGGGGCGACGAGCGGGGGCGTGGCCTTGGCGGGTGACAGAGGGGCGGGGCGGCGCGGCGCGGCCCAGGGGTGCCCGCGCGAGGCGAGCCGTTTCGCTCAGTGCGCGAGCAGCGGCCGGGTGGAGCGCGGCGCGGCCTGTCAGGCAGGCGCGGACCGAGGAGGGGACTGCGGGGAGTCGGCGCCGGCGGAGGTCGCAGCGGCCCGGCCAGCGCTTCTCGCGGCGTGCGCGGCCCCGGGGAGGGGATGGCGCTACTGGCCCTGGCCTTGGACGGACTCGCCGTCTTCGGGCTCATCCTCTTCGTCGTGCTGTGGCTCATGCATTTCATGTCCATCATCTACACGTAAGTGCGGCCGCGGGGCTGGGCCGGGGTCCTCGCCGCTTCCCCCGGGGCGGCGCCGCCCAGCAGCGAGGGGGGCTCGGCCCGACCGCCTGCCCCTGGGAGCTGAGGTGGACTCGCCGCAGCTCGCTCCCCGGCCCGGTGGCGAAAGGGCGGGGGCATTGCTGGATGATTCACTTCCCTCTGGGGAGCGTCGTTTGCCTATCGCCTGGGCAGCCTCCCTTTCCCGGTTCGCGGGGAACCGCTCTGCCCTGCCCTTCCCCCCCGCCCACCTAACCTCCCCCACCGGCACATCCACCCCCCCCCGCCACTGGCTCCCCTGAGCCGGACCCGCCCCCACCGAGCCCCTCCCCCGCCACTGGCTCCCCTGAGCCGGACCCGCCCCCACCGAGCCCCCCCCCCCGCCACTGGCTCCCCTGAGCCGGACCCGCCCCCCGCCGAGCCCCCCCCCCGCCACTGGCTCCCCTGAGCCGGACCCGCCCCCGCCGAGCCCCCCCCCCCGCCACTGGCTCCCCTGAGCCGGACCCGCCCCCGCCGAGCCCCCCCCCCGCCACTGGCTCCCCTGAGCCGGACCCGCCCCCGCCGAGCCCCCCCCCGCCACTGGCTCCCCTGAGCCGGACCCGCCCCCACCTAGCCCCCCCCCGCCACTGGCTCCCCTGAGCCGGACCCGCCCCCCACCTAGCCCCCCCCCGCCACTGGCTCCCCTGAGCCGGACCCGCCCCCCACCTAGCCCCCCCCCGCCACTGACTCCCCTGAGCCGGACCCGCCCCCCACCCAGCCCCCCCCCCGCCACTGGCTCCCCTGAGCCGGACCCGCCCCCCCACCTAGCCCCCCCCCGCCACTGGCTCCCCTGAGCCGGACCCGCCCCCACCTAGCCCCCCCCCCGCCACTGGCTCCCCTGAGCCGGACCCGCCCCCCACCTAGCCCCCCCCGCCACTGGCTCCCCTGAGCCGGACCTGCCCCCCACCTGGCCCCCCCGCCACCTGGCTCCCCTGAGCCGGACCTGCCCACCACCTGGCTCCCCTGAGCCGGACCCGCCCCCACCAACAACCCTCCTCCCCTCCACCTGTCTCCCCTGAGCCGGACCCGCCCCCCACCAACAACCCCCCCCCCGCTACCTGGCTCCCCTGAGCCGGACCCGCCCCCCACCAACAACCCCCCCCCCGCTACCTGGCTCCCCTGAGCCGGACCCGCCCCCACCAACACCCCCCCCGCCACCTGGCTCCCCTGAGCCGGACCCGCCCCCAGCAACAACTCCACCTGGCTCCCCTGAGCCGGAGCCGCCCCCCACCTAGCCCCCCCGACACCTGGCTCCCCTGAGCTGGACCCGCCCCCCCACCAAGCCCCCCAACCCTTACACCTGGCTCCCCTGAGCCGGACCCGCCCCCACCTAGCCCCCCCCAACCCTGACACCTGGCTCCCCTGAGCCGGACCCGCCCCCCACCTAATCCCCCTCCTCCGACACCTGGCTCCCCTGAGCCGGACCCGCCCCCCCACCTAGCCCCCCCCGACACCTGGCCCCCCCTGAGCCGGAGCCGCCCCCCAGCCCTCCGACGCATCGACCCCCCCCCGACAAGTGGCTCCCCTAAGCCGGACCCGACCCCCACCTAGCCCCCCCCGACAAGTGGCTCCCCTGAGCCGGACCCGCCCCCCACCTAGCCACCCCCCACCCTCGACACCTGGCTCCCCTGAGCCGGACCCGCCCCCCACCTGGTCCCCCCCCCGACACCTGGCTCCCCTGAGCCGGACCCGCCCCCCCACCTTGCCCTCCCCCCGCACATCAACCCCCTCCCCCCGACAACTGGCTCCCCGAGTTGGACCCACCCCGCCACCCAGCCCTCCGACACATCGACCCCACCCGACACCTGGATCCCCTGAGCCGGACCCGCCCCCAACCTAGCCCCCTCCCCGACACCTGGATCCCCTGAGCCGGATCTGCCCCCCACTTGCCCCCTCCCCCGACACCTGGATCCCCTGAGCCAGATCCGCCCCCACCTAGCCCCCCTCCCGCACATCGACCCCCCCCCTCAACACCTGGCTCCCCTGAATCGGACCCGCCCCCCACCCTGCCCTCCGACAAATCGATCCCTCTTGACACCTGGATCCCCTGAGCCGGACCCGCCCCCCACTTAGCCCTCCCGACACATGGAGCCCCCTGAGCCGGCCCCGGCCCCCCCACTTAGCCTCCCCGACGTGAACCCCCGAGCTGGCCTCCTGATGTTTGGATCCTCACAAGTCAGACCCGCCTTCCCACCTAGCCCCCCACTCCAACCCATGGATTCCCCATAAGCCGGACCCCCCTCCCTGCACACATGTGACTTGGATCCCCCGAGCTGCACCACCCCCAGCCTGCCCCCTCCTGACACCTGAACCCCCTTGAACCTGACAGCCCCCTTTACATGCCCTCCCCGAGCTGTCTGCCTATTGACACCTAACACATGCACACCCATGATACGTGCACACGCGTAACCCTGCTGCTACACCTGCCCTTTCATAAGATATACACACACACCAGTGAGTCTGCTCTCATTGTTTACACACACTTTAGCCTACACCTGCAGAATACACACTCACCCACCCACACCCACCCATGAGCCTGCCTCTTCTTGCCCTAACACATCTCAATTGTTAAATATGTGAGTTTGCCTTTTGTTTGGGGCTCTATTCCATGCAACTCTTGGCCTTCGCCACCGTACTTTCCTTTCTTATGTACTGACCTTACAGTGATAGGTATGTGATTTTTCATTCTCTTTTTTTGTTGTTGTTACATTTAAAATTTTTGTTTGGTGGCATAGCCTTGTGGCAGGAACCTTTGGTTTCTTGTGTGGGTCTCTTGGGGACAGCAGTCATAAAATGTTATGTTGAGTATTCTTTAGAAGGATGCAAACAGCAGCTCAGTCTTAAATAGCACACAACATTGAACAGTCTTAATTTTAGTGGTATGTACACTGACAAGGTTTCTCAAGATAACTTATAATGGCAGGTGGAATGAATACTGGTCTGGATCTGCCTAGATAACTAGCTCTGAAGAGAAGAGGTGCTTAAAAAGAGCTGCCTGCTACTGTTTATTTCCTTTTTATTATTATTATTATTTATTATTATGATTGACCAAGCATTTTTGCTGGGGCTTTGTGCAGAAGTTGATGTGTGTATGTAAAACAGGGGAGAGAAAATTAAGAGATCGGTTCCTTTTGAATGCAATCAAATTATTGTTCAAATAAAAGTCCAAATTTACCTTATAATGACTGCAGCAATGTATTGGTTACTGCAGTTAGATTTTCCTATAGCTGTTGTAAAATATACTGTAAGAGAGTATCAAAGGTTCTGATGGTAGTAAATGATGCAAGTGTTCTTTTCTTGTTTTTGTTTCATGTTTTGTGATGTTTGTGCCATCAAGGACTCCTATTTTGCTCACTCAGCCACACCACAGTTAGTTGTCTGGGGTAAAATCCTGGCCTCAGTGAAATCAGTGGCAAAATTCCCATTGACTGCAGTGTGGCCAGGATTTCATTTCTGGCTAACTGAATTATGAAAACCCTCATAGAATCATAGAAT